AAAAAAAAAATCATGCATTTCCTTTAGACCATTTACATTGTAGAAACCAGAAATTCTGAGCATCTGTCAGAAGAATAATCAGTATTTTGGTAAGCACAAAAATCAAAAGTGTCTAATTGGCAGCATAAAAAGAAAGCACATCATCAAAAACACACTGTTCCTGTTCACTTGCGATTATACAAAGAAGCAATACTTCAACATTTAATTTTTTTTAAAGAGAATCCTATTCCCCCTCCCCCTGCCCTACATTCTCAACTGGAGGTTAAGAGGGTTTCTTCCATCAAGAGATATTTGGGCAAATAAGAACACAATTCAGGTTTCCTTCAAAGAAAGCTTTAATGATAAAATTCTATTTGCTAAGAACAAATAATTCTTCAATTCTACCGTATAGATACCAAGGCAAACCTTCAGATTAAAGAGCTGTAACTGGAGGAGGAAAGAAGCAGAGAGAGAGAGACAAGGGTAGCGGAGAGGAGATGAAGAAAAGGGGAGACCAAAGGCTTCAGAGGAAGAGACATAACGCCTTTAACACGGAAAGCAGCAGACACAAATGTGAGGAGATATAGATATTTCAAGTTGAAAAAGACCTCAACCCCCACATTTTACAGATAAGGTAACTGAAGTAGAGAGCCTGGAGTACCTGAGCCACCAACAGAGAAGCAAGAAATCAGAAATCTTACGGAGTGAGTCCAAGGCCACTGCAAGAGGCATTTCAGCACACTTCCAAACATCCTGCTGGCTAGGCCCAGACACTATCTCCTGCTCCAGATGTTGGAAAAGTGTTATATTTCACTTTAAAAAGCAAAAGGACCCATTTTCCCAGAATAAAGTCCCCAATACTGTGGCCTACAGCAATGCTGTCACCAAAGATTTTTAAACACCTGCATCTTTAAAATTATAGACATAAAATATTTCTTGGCCCTTACAGGCCATATTAAATAAATGCATAAATCCCATTTACATGAATTTTTGTAACGTCAAATTGATGAAGAATTTTTAAGCTGAAAACTCTTTGTATTTTTAAACTGATACCTATATCTGTTTACCTATGGACCCAAATTAAACACTACTCATAGGTACTTTCCTGTATCTTGGAAATTCTAATAATAGCTACCAAATTGTTATTTCTGAAAATCTGAATTACTTAATTCCTTACAAGGTCATCGATTCCTATCTGATATTGAGATACAGGTGGCTGGGTGCGGTGGCTCACACCTATAATCCCATCTCTTTGGGAGACTGAGGTGGGTGGATCAGGAGTTTGAGACAAGCCTGGCCAACATAGTAAAATCCCATCTCCACTAAAAATACAAAAAATTAGCAGGGCATGGTGGTGCATGCCTGTAATCCCAGCTACTCAGGAGGCTGAGGCAGGAGAATCGCTTGAATCCAGGAAGCAGAGGTTGCAGTGAGCCAAGATCATGCCACCACTCTAGCCTGGGCGACAGAGCAAGATACTGTCTCAAAAAACAAAATAAAACAAAACAAAAGATACAAATAAACTGTTTAGAAATTTTTAAAAAACCTTCCACATTATTTGACTTGTTAAACCTATGAATAGTCATCAACAAGGAATCAAATCATATGAACTCACACCAGAAAACCTAATGTTGATAGCAAAGCCCTATCTACCCAGCCAAAATGTTACCGTGAGAAAGTAAAGAAAAATGGAATTCTTTATCTCCATTCACACTCTCAAAAAATATCAGTTAGTATAATGCTCAGAGTAAAAACACAATTATTTTTTGTTATGTATTGGCAATTGAGATTAAATTAAAGCCAAAACTCATCTCTGGGAACCAGGAAAAACACTATATTTTAAAAGTGTCTTCAAAGTATTACTTCTTATCTAAAGCATAATATTATGATGAACTGGGAGTCATGCATATTTCATTTCAAGGGAGGAAAAACCTGAAAATCCTCTTTAAAATCTTCTTTTATAGTTTTACATTTGTAACCACTGAAAACTTTAAATTGCCAGGCAGTGATTGTTTGAGATAAATTTCTATAGACAAAATTTTAACTGCTTATTAGCAACCAACCCACTTAGTGAAGTGATAAACTAGGAGAGCAATGTGTAAAAACAGGGAGTCTGAAGTAAGCTAAAGACAGCAGTGGCAGTTAATACCCCACTCAAAATAACTGAAAAATCTTAATGGTGCTACTTCAGAGCCTGCTAAGAACAGACTCAATGGCTCACGGCTATAATCCCAACACTCTGGGAGGCTGAGGTGTGCAGATCACCTGAGGTCAGCAGTTTAAGACCTGCCTGCCCAACATGGTGAAACCCCGTCTCTACTAGAAATACAAAAAAAAATTAGCCAGGCATGGTGGCACCTGCTAGTAATCCCAGCTACTCAGGAGGCTGAGGCAGGAGAATCGCTTTAACCCGGGAGGAGGAGATTGCAGTGAGTTGAGATCACACCACAGCACTCCAGCCTGAGTGTCAAAGCAGGACTCCATCACACACTCACACATACACACACACACACACATACACACATACACACACACAAGCAGACTGAAAAAGCACCACTGGCTTTCACATGTTTTCCTCTATAAAGGCCTATCTTACATGAAGATAAAAGAGAGGAGATATGATAAGTTCACAAGGAACCATAACATGATATCTGCTATTTGTGCACTCACAGGTAAAAGGATAAAGACATTTTCACATTGTAAACAAAAGATCTATGAGCCTTTTCAATTGACAAGTGGAGGAAAAATGAATAAAGAATGCTTGATACCGCTTGATACCTTCTCCATGTAACCCATAGACTTAGGGCATACATTGGGTCCTCATCACCTTCCTTTCTTCCTTAAATTACTTATTTACTCACTTCAGGAATTTTATGGAAAAGGTTTCCTGCCTACAGGCCTCATACACTTAGAAGTTTACCTACATAGCAAATCCCACACTAAGTGAATTAAAACTTGCCCCAATATTTACCCAAGTTCTAAGACACTGGGTCTAAATTTCTTTAAATCTGAACTGTCATAATTGAGAAGAGGGCCAAGATTTCTGGTAATAGTCTCACACCTTCCTTGGGGAGGACAAGTGCCTCACCTGCAGTGACATCATGTCAGGTCTGTACTGCTTGCGGAAGCCGAGGTCATACATGAGGAATTTCAGCATTTCAAAGGCTTGCTCTTCACTCATGTGCAGAAGCAGGACTCCAGCCACAAAGCTGATCCCCTGACAGTAACCCACTTCTTTGTCCAGCAAAGAATAGGCTTTCAGGAGGTTAAACAGCGATAGCTGCCCTGCCCCAAGCTGTACTGAAAAGTAAGGGTGAGTAGGAAATGTCCTTCCTGCAGAGGAAAAGAAGAAAAAGAGTTTTTGAAATGTCCTCATTCCTTGAAGACCACAGTGAAATCGCAATTCAGTGACCTCCAAGAATAAATCAACACTCTTGCCCAAACCAGTGAGAGTTGCTTCAAGTTGCCATGTAAGGTCTCTCTCTCTTATCCCCAGTCCTGTCAGGCTACCATAAAATCTTCACACATATTATATGGGAGGAAATATTTTATGCTAACCAGTACTTCTTTCTAGCACACACACACACACACACACACACACACACACACAATTAAATAAAAATCTACAAACTGATGACATACTCAGGAGAGATACCAAAAAAATGAAAAATAAAATTTATTCTGACTATAAAGCAAGGTAAATTCTAAATTCATATAAAGACTACCTTCTAAATGAAACCAGAAGTCTAGAAGAGATGTTATTTAAAAGAAAATCTTTGTAGTCTATAAAGATTTGTTTCTGCTGGTCTTGTAATATGACACTGGAGAGACTTTTTGGGTTTGTTTGGCTTTACATTCAGACCATCATTCAGAAGAAAACTTCTTTTTCAAATATCTTTTGCTCTCTGCTCTTAAGATACCTCCATGCGCCATTTAAACCACTTTTCTCTTTTCAATATCAAAAAATATCAAGGAAACCATAAGGGTCATTTTCAAATAAATTCTCCTCTAAAATTTACTTTTTGGTATAAAATTCCCACAGAGACACTCGAGCTGGCAATGTGAGTCCTGTATCACTAAATGGGGAGTTCTATATACTGAAACAAGCCCATCTTCACACTCAAGCTGTGTATACTGGTATGGGACATTTCTAGTTCCACAAAAATCAAGAGAGATGTTAGCTTCCTTGTGAAATGATTACTCATGTCAGTTAGAACTTGCAAAAGTGCCAGACTTTAAAATGTTTTCTCCCACATATGCTTAAAAGTGATTTCCCCCCCGCCAGGAACCAGTAAGATTAATTCTGCAGAGCCAGTAAGAGGAAGATACAAGAAAATAACAATTGCATGCCCAAGAAACACAGATGACTACAGGTAGAGCCAAATAAGCAATTTTTTAAATTATGGTTTTACTTTCTCACTTAAATCCAGAATCTACAAAGAAGTCAAACAGATTTACAAGAAAAAAACAAGCCCATTCAAAAGTGGGCGAAGGATATGAACAGACACTTTACAAAAGAAGACATATATGAGGCCAACAAACATACGAAAAAATGCTCATCATCACTGGTCATTAGAGAAATGCAAATCAAAACTACATTGAGATACCATCTCACGCCAGTTAGAATGGCAAACATTAAACAATCTGGAGACAACGGATGCTGGAGAGGATGTGGAGAAATAGGAACACTTTTACACTGTTGGTGGGAGTGTAAATTAGTTCAACCATTGTGGAAGACAGTGTGGCGATTCCTCAAGGACATAGAAATAGAAATTCCATTTGACCCAGCAATCCCATTACTGGGTATATATCCAAAGGATTATAAATCGTTCTATTATAAGGGCACATGCACACCAATGTTCACTGCGGCACTGTACAATAGCAAAGACTTTGAACCAACCCAAATGCCCATTGATGATTGACTGGACAAGGAAAATGTGGCACATATATACCATGGAATACTATGCAGCCATCAAAAACAATGAGTTCATGCCCTTTGTAGGGACATGGATGAACCTGGAAACCATCATTCTTAGCAAACTGACACAAGAACAGAAAATCAAACACCGCATGTTCTCACTCATAGGTGGGTGTTGAACAATGAGAACACATGGACACAGGAAGGGGAGCATCACACACTGGGGCCTGTGGGGGCGGGGATAGGGGAGAGACAGCAGGGAGTGGAAAGTTGGGGAAGGATAACATGGGGAGAAATGCCAGATATAAGTGATGGGAGGAAGGCAGCAAACCACACTGCCATGTGTGTACCTATGCAACAATCTTACATGTTCTTCACATGTACCCCAAAATCTAAAGTGCAATTTTAAAAACTTTTTTACTAAAGAAAACTATAAATACTCTTTCTATCCATTAACTTGATTCTAGCTCCATTTATATCTGACTGTAATGTGATCTCATTCTCTCTCTTTGATAGGATATCATGACTAACCCTGATTGTATCACCAATTTATGGTCAGAGAACCACAGATTTGCTTGGGAACACAGGGATTGCTTTGTTCAATGTCCCCACTTAGTAGAGAGGATTGATACTCAGAAGCAAGGTAACACGTCTAAGACCACAATTAGTGGCACAATCAGCACAAAAACTCAAGCTTTCAGTTTCTCTGTAAAGTCCCTTTTTAATTCTGCTGGGCTCAAAAAAATAATTAACTGAGCTGGGTCCTTTCCCAGCAAGAGCCATCTGTCACCCAAAAGGAATGGTAAAACTAGAGTTTGGCTAGTGATTTTTCATATGCCCTGCTATAAGATGACCCCACACATGAGGTAATCTTGTATTTTTCCAAATGGGCTCAAATAACGTTGTCTGGCCACCTCAGCTATATCAATTTTTAGAAGTACAAATAAAATGGTCAAATGCCAATGTATAATATTTAATATAATAATGTAGATATTTTAAAATAATAAAGTATGTTAGGCTAGAGAAAAATGAAAGACAATAAAATTGTTAAAAATCAAAGCATTTTTATTTCTATAAGTTATTTGAAATTCGGCATTTAAAAAGACTGCTTTATGATCTGTCACTGGAAATTCTCCCCCAGGTCATGAGTACCCATTCCTACACTACTACGGCAACTAATTTTTCACTCACCCTATAGGTGTACGGTCATAATTTCCACCAACACAACTTATTGTGGTGCTTTTTAAAGTGATATACAAAGGATTGTTTTCAGCAATGTGGGCTATCTAGCACACCTTCACTAAATTTTTTGGTCCCCCTTTTAACCTATTCTAGGCTATTTCAAAACCAGCATTGATTAAGATACACCCATCTGCCCTAAAAAGTCAGTTATTCAAAATGCAGTAACTGAGAGCACTCTATCATATAACCTTTATAATAATTTAAATATAAGATGGTTCCCTTTGCAGAGGCAAAGTTTTGGGGTGAAAACTTCATTTAACACACAGGCATTTATGGGATCGTCAGTCAAGTAGAAGGCCAACTTGCCCTCAGTGAAGGACAAAGTTAGCGGCTCTGTACATGCCAACAGGTACTCTTCATCAACACCAAGAACAAACAAAAACAAAAAAAAAAAAAAAAAAAAAAACTCAACAGAAGGACCAGCTGTTTACTTTTGTAAATTATAATCCACGTGACAAACATACCTAAATCCACGAGAATCGCGTGCTGCTGCGCAGTGAGCTGCTTCAAAAGCTCCTTATAGGATATGTCGGGAGGCTGCTGCTTATTAGGCAATCTGTGTCTGAGGCGGTACTGTAAAGCCAGGAACTGCCAAATTTCTCCTCGTCGACTTTTGGGAACTCCTACAGTCAAGGAGATAAATACGCAAGCCCTTGGTCTCTAGAATGAAGCTGCTAGATCCCAGTTGATTCGCTATGTAAACAGGCAGCTGTACATTGCACGCCACCCTAAGACCACACAATAGGATTGACAGAAGCATATTTTGGCAAGCTTAATCCTATAGCTCCTGATGTCTAGCAAAAGAAAACCCTCACCCAAGACTTACCATAATGACAGACTTAACAATAACATCACCTATCACTGACTGAGCATTAATATAACATTTATGGAGGGTACCTAGCTATTAAGTACATGCACTCAGAAGATGACTCGACTATAAGGTAGGCAATTACTATTAGGCCTACTTTATAGACAGAAAGCTGAGGCAGAAAGAGATTAAGTAATTGTCCCAAATTCACATGGCTAGGAAGTAGCAGTTTAGAATTAGAACTCCAGAAGTCTGGTTTCGGAGGCCAAATCCTGAAATCCCAAAGTGTGTTACTGCCTATTTTCACCCTTTATTTGGCTTGAGGATAGCAACAAATGCTAATCCTTTTTTACAACACTAAATATTTGCCAACAAGTAACTTTATAACACAGAATCAAACAGCATACTTATGTGGGCATTAAAAATGCAACAATAGGCCGGGAGTGGTGGCTCACACCTGTAATCTCAGCACATTGGGAGTCCAAGGCGGCTGGATCACTTGAGACAGGAGTTCCTTACCAGCCTGGCCAACATGGTGAAACCCTGTCTCTATGAAAAATATAAAAATTAGTGGGCATGGTGGCATGCGCCATGTAATCCTGGCTACTTGGGAGGCGGAGGCAGGAGAATCACTTGAATCTGGGGTATGGAGGTTGCAGTGAGCCGAGACTGCGCCATTGCACTCCAGCTTCGGAGACAGAATAAGACTCTGTCTCAAATAATAATAGTAATAAAAGTAGTAAACAATAAAGCATAACTGACATGCTCCAGAACATCATTTGGGCTTTGAGAAAAAAATGATTAGCACAGGTAATGAAACATTATTATGCTTGAACACCAAAATGTATCACCAGCAGTTCAAGGATGCTATGACTGTTTTTTTCATGACAAGGGACATGAAGTAAGCACTGGGAGGGACAGAATTCAATTCTGCACAGTGCAGCCAACTTTATTTTACTCACTACGAGTTTTCAGTTTGGACAGATCGAATCTGCAATGGGTTCCTTTGCTCCAGCTGGTTAAGGAAAGGCTTAATGGCCGTAATCTCTTCTGACTGAATGCCACAGTTTGCACAAGCTGAAAGTATTCTTGTCAGACAGGTGAAACCAAGGCTCGCTGGCATGATTTATAAGGCCTTCATGAGTTCCAAACTACCTTTTTAAGTCCCATTACTTCCCAGTCCCTGCTGTATACTAGACGCTTGTGGTCATTTTCATTCCTCTAGTTTTTGCTCCCACTATTGCCTTTATGGAATTTCAACCTCCCACACTTGACTACCCATTACATGTCTACTCATCTCTCAAGAATGAGCTTGAGTGTCACGTTTTCTGTTGAAGCTCTCCCTAACATATCGAGATGTAATCAGTCCCTTTTCACATACTATTTGACTCATACTACAGCATTGCCATATTAGATTACAGTTAGCTCTATGTCTCTTTTCCCTACTTAAATGGTCCTTGAGAATAGCAAGCATATTTTCATCTCCATATGATAAAATCCAAGAATACATCTTGCTGCTCATACATTTGTTGAATGAATGAATGAATGACAACTAGAAAATGATATTTTTAGAAGGTAACTATCAGCCCATTAAATGAATCACTGATAACCTGAGTGGGCAGTTTTATTATCCATCCAATAATGTATGTACAAAAAGTAACTTCACTCCAGTTAAACAAACATTTCTTGAGCATCCAGTATATAGCAGAGAATAAAGCAAGGCAGTCAGGATACCTCATCGTTGAGTGATAAAGAAACCCATTCTCAGGAAAATCATCTCATTCATTCATTTGTCCATTCATTCAGTAAATAATGAGTGCAAGATATTGTCTTAGGTGCCAGGCGTGCAGTGGTGGGGTAAGAAAAACATTAAACAAATATATACATAAATATTAAATTATAAACTATGATTAAGTATAATTATGAAAGAGAATGATAAAGGACAATGAATTGATTTTGGTGGGGTGGCAGGGCTGGTGCTCTGAGGAAATGGTATTTGAGAGACCTGAGGGACAACAGAATGCTCCAGGCTTGGAACATAGGTGGCAGTCACTCCAGAATACCACATGAATGCCCTGAGATGGACGGAGGAAAGAGGAGTGAGAAGAGGATGGGATGGAAAGAAAGGGATATGGGAAATGAGGATGTAGAAAGGTAAGAAAGATGGAGAGTAGAGAGGGCTGGAACATTCCATGCAAGAAATAGCATAGGGCAGATCAGCACTCAAAGTATTATAGTTCAGTGTCTCCAGAGCACACAATACAAGGTAAGGAGAGACAAAAAATTAGATCAGAGAGGTGGAAGGAGAGATTATAGAAGAATGATATGGTTTGGCTGGGTCCCCACCCAAATCTCATCTTGAATTTTAGCTCCCATAATTCCCAGGTTTTATAGGAGGGACCTGGTGGGACATAATTGAATCAAAGGGGCAGTTCCCCCCATACTGTTCTCGTGGTAGTGAGTGAGTCTCATGAAATCGGATGGGTTTTTAAGGAGAAACCCCTTTCACTGGGTTCTCATTTTCTCTCGTCTGCCTCTATGTAAGACATGCCTTTTGCCTTCCACCATGAATCTGAGACCTCCCCAACCAGGTGGAACTGTGAATCCAATAAGCCTCTATTTTTTTTTTTAATTGTACTTTAGATTCTGGGGTACATGTGCAGATCATGCAGGATTGTTGCAAAGTTACATACATGGCAAGGTGTAAACCTCTTTTTCTTTAGAAATTACTCAGTCTTGGGGATGTCTATAACAGCAGCATAAAAATTGACTAATACAAAGGCCTTGGGCACAGGGCCAAGAAGTTTAAACTGTATCCAATAAGAAATGGGAACGGCCAGGAGCGGTGGCTCATGCCTGCAATCCCAGCACTTTGGGAGGCCAAGGCAGGTGGATCACAAGGTCAGGAGTTCGAGATCAGCCTAGCCAATATGGTGAAACCCTGTCTCTATTAAAAATACAAAAATTAGCTGGGCATGGTGGTGGGTGCCTGTAGTCCTAAGCTACTCAGGAGGCTGGGGCAGGTAAATTGTTTGAACCTGGGAGGCAGAGGTTGAGTCTCGGCGACAGAGCGAGAGACTCTGTCTCAAAAAAGAAGAAAAGAAAAGAAATGGAAAGATAGGCACTCCTAAAACATCTTTGAAAGTCATGCCAAAGAATGGTGTTATCTGTATCTCACAGACATTCTGTTAACCACTACAGTGTCTCCCAAATAAAAGATTCAATGAAAATCTTTAGCATTTCCTTATCTTCAAGGATAAAGAACACTATATTAAGCTTGTCAATGTGGCAGCTTTCAAAATAAATCTTACCTTAATTTAAATTTAACTGTGCAACAGTCTCACACGTTAGCACAGGCTTTTAAAACAACATTTATTATAGGATTTCTCTGGGTATTTTGGAATTTTTATTTTACACCCACAGTTTATGCAGGCCATGGAAATTCTAATTTTAACATATTTAATCTGAGTCACAGAAATTGCAACTAAAAATTGACTTATTAGCTTTATTTTTAAATTTAAACTTCTTAAATATCAGGCATCTTATATGGCATAGCAGCAATAAAAGAATAAATGCAATATAATGGCTAAATAAAAGGAACTTCTCCAAAATTAGTGAAGAAATGAATGGATGAAAGAAAACTGATTGATTACTTAACCAGAATATAAATCTACATGTATAAATACATAAAAGTATATATACACATTCATGTAAATATACACATATATGTAAACAATTACTTCTGACCGAATGATGAAATGAGTCAGTTTAAAGGACTGAATTATTAATATTTTTATGGCAGTGATCAAAGATTTGTATCAATGCATGCACTTCCTCCTTGGTATATACCACCACCAAGCTGAAAATAGCTGGTGGAAGTAAGCAAAAAAAAACAATAGAAAAGGTTTGTGTTACCTCCTCAGAGACAGTCACTAAACTACAGGAAGAAACAAATTACTTTTTTTTAATAAGCAAAACAAAAGGACAAAATAACATCTGAACTCCACAAATCAAACAACAACAACAAAAATCCCCCAGGCTTTTCTTTAAAAAAAAAAAGATTATTGAGATTATCCAAAATACCTTCTTTAAGAAGAGTATGAATATCTTCCATATCACATCTGATTTTAGCTCTGCAGTTTAACAACTTCTTATCCCAGGTTATGAAGACCTCTTTCTGACACACACCAACTTCTTCATAGTCTAATTTAACTTTTCTGGACTGGAGTTCATCTCTGCTTGCTAAGGAAGAAAGAGAGAATTTACGTGAGACCAATGTGTTTTTAAAATGCAAAATTTTAAACATTTGATTGCATTTGTAAAACCATACCAAATGACTTTCAGGAATTAACTGGTAATCTATTCTTAAAAAGAAAATTTAAAACAAACTGAGAATACATGAAAGGGATTTCAAGCTTTGAGTCATTTCATGTGGAAAAAAAAATGAGGAATAATCTCCTAAGGAGGTTTCACTCTGTATCTTACATACAGTAACTCTGCTGAGCATAAAAAGCTGATCATTCTATAATTTTCCATTTCTTGACAAATGTGACAGATAGACTTGGAAATGATACCTCATATCATCTTAAATGCCATGAAAGTGTTAATATTTTATATGTGCCAAGGTGAGAAGACAAGGACTTGATTTGAAAAATCTATAACCATGATAAAACAAAGTATTCTTATAACTGCTTCTGGAGTTATCCACACTGCTCTTAATAACTAATAAAGCTAGCTTATGCATTCCTCTGTTTGTTATTTTCTCTTTCTTTTGTTTTTGCTTTTGTTTTTTAGAGACAGGTTCTCACTCTGTACCCCAAGCCGGAATGCACTGGTGCAATCATAGGTCAGTGCAGCCTCAACCTCCTAAGCCCCCATCTCCCTCCTGGGTAGCTGGGACTACAGGCATGTGCCACTATGCTTGGCTAACTTGACAAATTTTTTGTAATGATGGGATCTCTTGATGTTGCCCATGCTAGTCTTAAACTGCTGGCCTCAAGGAATCCTTCTACCTCACCCTCCCAAAGAGCTGGGTTACCAGGTGTGAGCCACTGCACCCAGCCTTCCTGCGTTCATTTGTAATAAACTTAAAAAGAAAATTTCCTTTCACTGAAGTTTACGCTAACTCAACTTTTTAAATAATATAGAATTATCTCTAATTTGACGATCTAACATACATGCCCAGAGCTCATTAAAAGCAATGTCTATAAAAGCAATCAGTATCTTGATTTGGTCTTTATCGTGACCAATTAATTTCAAAAGAGAAGGAAGAACAGACACAAGCGTATTATTTCTTCTCTTCATTAGGATCCCAGTGGACAGGAATGTCTCAGAGCAATCAGTATTCACGCATGCTCACAGTGCTCGGCCACCTTACCTCCTGAAACACAAATCTGTGTCATGCATCCCAAGTCCTCGACAGCACAAAAACAATAGCAGAATGAAAGTTACTCTTTACTATGTTTGAAACCATTTCGAAAGACTTAAAATATCTTAAACTATTATTCAAGCAAGGCAGTAAAAATTCCTACTTAAAAGTCCAGACATAATCTAAAGATAAATTGCAGCACAAAACTATTCCTTCTGGATACCACAGATGGCTTTCTAACCCTGTTTAACTTGGGTGTTTGGCTATTTGCTTTATATTTCTCTGATAACCAAATAATTTTTTAAAAGGCATGGGTTTATTAAGGCTAAAAACAAATATACTCCTATATATAACTTTACTAATTATTTTCTTCACAATGGACAAAACGTAATACTTCCTTAGAGTTCTTCTCTAATCTTCTCTAGATTATTGTGCATTTAAAATAATCATAAACTTAAGTGCCAGCCACACACGCTGAGGATAAAATGGTGAGTAGGGGGAGTTACTATCTGCCCTTAACTGTTTAACTAGAAAAGACTAAAGAACTATCAAGAAATAATTATCCATTGGTTAGAATTTTCATAGGTTAAACTGTTTTTTAAGCAGAGAAACTGAGAACCGATAAAGATTTCTGAGAATACATTCTAAATGTCACCTCCTTTCTTATCCTCTAAAATCTTATAGTATAACTGACCTCAGAATACACATGTAGCCATTTATGTTAGAACATTCGTTTCTTTATATTAACACACATAGCTGAGAAATACTGTGGGGTACTGGGGAAAGCCCGAGAACCAGGATGAATAAACCTGAGTTTTGGTACTTGCTCTGCCAGTATGTCACTATCTAACCTTAGGTTAATTCCCTACCTTCCCCAAGCCAGTCACCACTTCTGCTGTAGAATGAAGAATCTAGCTAAGTAATCTCTAAGGCTATTTCTACTTCAAATAGCCTATGATTCTGAAACTATCTTTTGATATTTAATATCAGATTTTATTTGTACATACTCCCAAGCAAAATATAGTTTAATGCATTAAATTTTTTGAGGAAATGATGACCATCTTCTTCTTTCAACCTCTTTATTTGAGTTAGTTTAAGATATAACGACTTGCTTACAAATATGAATTCAATTTCTTTTGAAGCCTTTGAAACCTCCAGTGGGCATACCATTTATCACACCAAACATTTAAAATTATGTCAATGACAATTAATAGCATTTTTATTTAAAAGAAAAGAAGATGTATTTCCAAAGGATATTAAAATCCTATGTACTTTTTCATTATGCTAACAGCAATTTTTTAAAATGTGCTCTTGCAAACCATATATTGTTCAAATAAAACCTTGAATTGAATCACAGGTGTAGTAACAGGAACCTTAAGGTAGATGATAAAACTCAGAAATGTGGACTACCTGTACTAAAAAAGCTTTATGAAAGACAATATAATAAAAGCAAGTGAGAGAAATACCTAAATTTTACTTGTGCCAATAATCTTAAAAGTCAAATGACCACTTATGTTAAATCTTTCATCTTTCATTTTACAAATACAAAAATGAGGCCCTTTCAGGTTAGCTGATTTTCCCAAAATGATGACATTTATGCATTTTTTTGGATTTTTGAGCAACTCTTTGCATGTGGTTCTATCAGTACTGGAGTAAATTATATAATAATTCTTTCAAAGGCTGCAAAACACATTCCAAAGCATTTGGTAATCATAAACTTAGTAATAAAGTACCTCAAACAGCACAAAAGCTATTATAAATTATTTGATTCTAAATGTAATGATTTGAATGTAATTTTGTTAAACAGAACATTTATAAAGCATTAACAAAAATAGGAACAGATTTGGCTTAATAACAGGTCATTATAATTAAATAGTTAAATTGAATACAGTGTAAGTAGAATTTATTTGAAGTGGACATATTTCTCCCGTTATGAATGTAATTAACCTGAAACGTCAAAATCACATTAAAAAAATTGCTTTCTCATATTTAAGGATTTTTTAGAAGTGACACTAAAATAATAAACTTTTAGTCACTTCAAATAGATTGACTCTCTATTATCTACATTCTATTTTACCTAAATATACTCTAAGGGTTTCTAATGTCTTAAATTTATTTAAAATGCAAACCCATTTAAAGCAAAACCCCAAATATCTGAAGCTGATCTCTCCCATGTTATAACTACCTCAAAAAATGGAAATCAACAATTATAATCAGTATATATTCATCTTACAGTGAGCTTACAGTCCAAAAATGAGTGCGGCTGGTACGTAGTGGGAGAGAAAGGTAGGTTTAACCTACACCCTTAAATCACAGCATCATAGCATTTAGTCTGTTAGAATGGCTAACCTTCAAGTTTTTGGTTTTCTTTTTCCATTCGAAGCAGCAAGATTTGTTGGTGTATAGCTTTTCTCCACAAACTCCTCAGTTCTTTTGATTTCTTTCTTTCTTCAATCTTTTCTGGGTCATCCTCCCCAGACAGGAATATAACCAGCGGTTCCTCCTCCATGGTTGGAGAGAGAGGGGACAGTGGCAGCAGCTCGCTCCTGTCCAATCCATCTGCAGAGAAGAACACAGTGAGAGGCATTCCTTAGCAGTAACCGAGACAACACAAGTTTCCCATCTGATCTTCTACACTTAAAAATGTCAAAAGCTGCTTTCCCTATAACAAAGTTTCTGGAACTAATATTTAAGTAAATTCACTAGACTGAATTCCCCTTCTGGATTTCCCTGTCATGATGAAACAAAAGTACAGACCATTTCACCACTTCTTCTTTCTACCCAAAGAGCTCTGTAAGATAGGTGCCCCCAAACCAACTTGCCTTTCCTGAGTCCAGCACTTCTGCAATTTACTTATGTATATTCTCTGGCTGTGAGGAACAAGAAGTGGGTAGCTATCAGTGATCTCCAAAGGTGTACCTCAATCATGAAAATCTGTTAGAAGCACAGCCACTGAGCGATGCTGGGCCTCTCCTGGCCAAGCACAACACTCCCTCTACTCGCTTCTCCTGCAACACTTTTTTCTTTTTCAACTTTTATTTTAGGTTCAGGGGTCCATGTGCAGGTTTGCTACATGGGTGAATTATGTTGTGACTCTGGGGTACAATGTACAAACGACTTCATCACCCAGGTAGTGAGCAGAGTACCTGATAAGTCGTTTTTCAATCCTCCTCCTCCTCCCACACTCCACCCTCACAGGGCTCCCAGTGTCTAATGTTCCCTTCTTTGTTTCCATGTGTACTCAGTGTTTCGCTCCTACTTATAAGTGAGAGCATGCAGTATTGGGTTTTCTGCTCCTGTGTTAATTCTTAGGATAATGGCCTCCAGCTGCGTCCATGCTGCTCTAAAGAACATGATTTCATTCTTTTTCATGGCTGCGTAGTATTCCACGTGCAACACTCTCTTAACAGGCTGCTCATTCCTTCCCTTCCTTCCAGGCCATCCTCCATACTACTACCAGTGAGTTTCATGTTAACAACTAGGAGCACATCTCTTAAGACATTTCAATGGTTGTTTATTTCCCAAGAACAAACTGCGACTAGTGTTTAAGTCCCTTCGGATTCTGGTCTCCACTAAGACTTCCTGCCTGATATCTCAGTCTCCCATTCTCTGTACCCATCATGCTGAGTTTCTCATGATTCTCTCATCTGCAAAGTTCACTCCAGTGACTCCAGAGCCTCGTCATTCCTACTTTCTGAAGCATAGCTCTTCTAGTAACAAGTTTAAATAAATACCTAATTGTTCTGTGAAGCTTTTCCTGACCACCTCAGACAGAGTTAGCTTCATCTTTAGTAATACCAGTTATTTTCTTGTTTTCTTCTTTTTTCTTTTTTTTATTCACTGACCTCTGCCTCTACTCTTATCATTTACTTCCATATGTTTTATTGCTGTTGTTTTTAAATTTTAATATCTGGCTCCTTTACTAGCTTTTTGAGTTAAACACTCAGTACAACTAATTTTTGTCCTTCTTGGTTTTATGTTAATACACTCATGGCATTTAACTGCTCCCTAGATTCATTTCAACACGTAAGGCTCTAATCATCAAATTTTCTTCCTTCTAGTTTCTAAGAGTAGTTTTCTATTCCCATTTTAGTTGTCTTCTAATCCTTGGTTTCTTTCTTTTTTTGGCATTGTGGTCAGAGAATATTCATAAATGATCATGATTATCTGGATTTCAAAAAGATTTACTTAAACATCTTTGTGGACAGGTACATAATTACATTTCATGAATGTTCCAAGTGTACCAAAAATGAATGAGTTTTCTCTATAGGAGGTGAACTCCTATATAAATATAGGTCAAGTTTATTTGCTTGTGTTACTCAAATGTTATCTATATTTAATTTCTAGAGAGAAATATGTTAAAATCTCCTGTGGGAGCTATTAATTTAGTGATTTCACTCCAGCATTCTTTTAGGTGTTATTTTCTAGCTCTTACATCATTATGTGTGTTTTCATGATTGTTCAATCTTTTTGTTTGCCTCTTTGGATGCTTTTGCTTTAATAAGTCAATTGCTTGAAGAGAGCTACCTGTGGTCTCTTTTGCTTGGTATTTGCATAGCGTATTTATTGTTCAATATTTATATGTCACTTTGTTTTGTGTGCAGCTCTTATAAAAGACTATGTTGCTTTTCTAATAATAAAAGATCTTTGGAAGCCAAGATGGGATGACTGCTTGTGCCCAGGAGTTCAAGGCTACAGTGAGCCATGATTGTACCACTGCAACCCCAGCCTGGGCAACAGGGCAAGGCCCCATCTCAAGAAGAAGGAAAAAAAAAAAAAACAGAAAAAGAAAATGGACATACAACTTCTTTCCTAGCATGATCATAGTTCCCTCAACAAGTACAGGTTTTTGGAAACTCTCTCACTCATTCATTCATTGAACAAGCAAGTGCTGAATATCTAATGTTTTCTAATGATACCTGAAAGGGAAACCACTGTATTACACACAGAAAGTTGTTTCTACAGTGTAATCACTTAAATCTCTTTATACACAGCATTTGCATTCCATTAGCTAATTTCTGACACTCACAAGGAGCAGTTCCTTAGGGAGTACCACACAGACCTTGCTCCTGCATTGCTGAGGGAGATTTATTCATGGGAGAAGCAACCCTGAGGAAAATGCGCTGTCGCCAGGAGATCCTGCGAGGAGTGACAGAGGTTCCACCCACACTTAGGGACTCATTGCTGCAGGAAGACGAGGTCCTTTTCCTCCCTTCTCCATCACTGCAGAAAGCAAACAAATGAATCACTTGTAAGGTGAGCTGCCCATCATGGCACTTCACAACCAACTGGTAGCACAAGCCATTCACAAGTTCTGCCACGGACAAGCAAAAGCCACAGGCAACATGGAGCGATGCGTCACCAGGCACACTGTCACACAGGCCACCACATTTTGGGGAAACTGCAATCTAGGCCACAGCCCAGTCATGAGAAGCTCCCCTGTTTCTACTCATTCCTTAGCAGCCAACCAGTCCTAGTTCTGATCTGACGAACGGAAGCACTTGTAAGGAGGAGTACAGGTGGCTTAAGTCATGAACTCATGCTTTGCTAAGGAAATAACATGTATTTAGCTTATTCGAAACAAGGTAAATATTCCATAAAAGGCTCACGAAGAGCTTTTGTTAGAGCTCCTATAGAACAGGTCAACAAAGACTGTTTCTAATGGCCTATGACTCTTAAGATCTGTCTTCTAATTGTCAGCTACCAATCGCTGGATTGTCGCAAAAGATAAACTGAATATAGGCAGAAGAGTCAACCTTGGGATTATTGTTAGGTGACATACTAAGAAAAAACTAGGGTCAAATAAGATTGGATAGCGTAGTTAAAATATAGATCTTATGGTTTTATTGATTTATTTATTTTGTAAGATAAGGTCTCATTTTTTCACCCAGGCTAGAATGCAGTGGTGAGATCATAGCTCATTGCAGCCTCGACTTCCCAGGCTCAAGAGATCCTCCTGCCTCAGCCTCCAGAGCAGCTGGGACTACAGGTATACATCACCACACCTGGCTATTTAAAAAAATTCTTCATAGAAACAGGTCCCACTGTGTTCCCCAGTCTGGTCTCAAACTCCTGGGCTCAAGCAATTCTCCTGCCTCAGCTCCCAAAGTGCTGGGATTAAAGGCATGAGGTACCACACCCAGACTGTTAAAAAAAATGTAAACAGATTTCTTTATAGCAGAACTGGTTAGAGACTGTTAATACACTGGCATGCACTGTGCCTCTCCAACAGGGAAATAGTGTATAGAAATTCCCCAATTTATTGAAATTAATTGACTCTAGAATCACCTCCCTCAATTTTTGGGGGACAGGGAGTGGTGTCACATCATGCCATATTAGTGCATGTGAAAATGGTCCTCTACTCTAAAAATTTCATTTCCTAGAAAAGACCACTCTGAGTTACACCAGACCTAACTGCAAAAAAGGTCAGTGTGACTCAAAATTATTTTTGAGGCCAACTATGCTGCTGGAAGACCTCACAATAATTGTTGCTGTTAGTGGCAGGACTATCTTACACTTTTAAGTTTCACAGTCTGAGTTTGCCTGAGAGAATGATGAGGATACCAATATTTACAAGTGGTGATACCAGCAAATGAAGGTATAAGACTTTTGATGGAATCAAAAGGAGAGTTCTGAGGTCAGAAATAAAGCTGATCCAGACGAGCCACTCTCAGATACTCAAAGGAACTCAATAGTGTTGAGGCAATTCATAGTGAGAAGGACAATTCAGCATCTGCCTATCATCTCTCTCTTTTTTTTTTTTTTTAAATTGAGACAGAGTTTCGCTCTTGTTACCCAGGCTGGAGTGCAATGGTGCGATCTCGGCTCACCACAACCTCCGCCTCCTGGGTTCAAGCAATTCTCCTGCCTCAGCCTCCTGAGTAGCTGGAACTACAGGCATGCGCCACCATGCCCAGCTAATTTTTGTATTTTTAGTAGAGACGGGGTTTCACCATGTTGACCAGGATGGTCTCGATCTCTTGACCTCATGATCCACCCACCTCGGCCTCCCAAAGTCCTGGGATTACAGGCGTAGCCACCGCGCCCGGCCCCTATCATCTCTTTATTTGCTCAGGTAATTCAGTCAGTTCTAGTCTGGATCTATTTTATGGAAACATTACTTCTGGAATAGCTAAATTAAAGTCGAAAAAAAAGAGTTCTGAGCTGCTATGTAGACAGCAAGTATAATAATGTAATACTTTAGAAAGTACAGTACTTGATACATATATCTCAATATAGTCCAACTAGTTATTATGTATCCAGGATAACATTATAACCCTAATATGGGTCCACTGTTCAAAACTCCCTGAGACAGTGGCAGTGCCATGGTTCACCGCCTGTAAACCCAGCACTTTGGGAGGCCGAGGCAGGTGGATCACCTGAGGCCAGGAGTTCAAGACCAGCATGACCAACATGGTGAAACCCTGTCTCTACTAAAAATAGAAAAAAAAAAAAAAATTAGCCAGGCGTGGTGGCGGTACCTGTCATCCCAGCTACTCAGGAGGTTAAGGCACAAGAATCACTTGAACCCGGGAGGTAGAGGTTATAGTGTGCCGAGAATCTACCACTGCACTTTAGCCTGGGTGACAGAGCGAGACTCCGTCTCAAAATAAAATGAAATTCTGAAAAACAAAAACAAAAACAAAAAAAAAACTCCCTGAGGCTGGGCATGGTGGCTCATGCCTATAATCCCAGCACTTTGGGAGGCCGAGGCAGGCAGATCATTTCAGGTCAGGAGTTTGAGAACAACCTGGCCAATATGGCAAAACCCTCTCTCTACTAAAAACTCAAAAATTAGCCAGGTGTGGCTAATTATACAACTGTAATCCCAGCTACTCAGGAGGCTGAGGTGGGAGAATCACTTGAACCTGGGAGGCAGAGGTTGCAATGGGCCAAGATCACACCACTGCACTCCTGCCTAAGCAACGGGGTGAGGCTCTGTCGCAAAAAAACAAAACAACAAAGCTTCCTGAAATATTGAATATATATATATATATTTGCCTTTGCCTTTATTTGCACTTTAGAAAACATTAATGCAAGTATTTCCCTTTTAAAAAATGATTCAAATGTTCTGTATATAATTACATCCCAATAAATACTGCTGAAGTACTCGTACTTTCATTTTTATAACATGATCTTGCTTGCAGTTATTTGCCAAATGCCCAGTTCATAGGAATATTTATAGCTTCTAGTGTAGTAATGAGCAAATAATAAGCACTCAATAAATATCCACTGAATAAAATAATATTTTGTAAAACTAAATGAAACATTAACTCAGCAGGTTAAGTGAAATAGACAAAAATATTGGCTAGGCTAACATGTCAGGAATAAATAAAAGATCTACCTTCTTAAAACCCTTTATTGGGAGTCCTGACTTTAAGTCCTTTTGGCAGAAAGCTCTAATAGCTTTGTTTCTTGAATGTATGCTCTGAACTGTTGATGGCACTGGTAGGTATAGACCACGACCATGCTTTCAATAAAAAACAAAAAGCATATTTTTTCTAGTAAATGTTATTTCATTCCTACATAAAAGCATCTAATTTATAATTTAAGCTTTGAAAGCTAAATGAAATCCTTATGTAAATGCACTTGTTTTCAATGCCCCACGTGACAAAAGTTAACAAATATTAATTTCTCTTGACTTTTAAAGTGCTCCAACAGAGCTGACCAAATCAAAGGATTCTGAAGTGTTTATATTTTAATGCTGGAATTAATACGGCTTTTAACAATCACCTTCCAATTCACTGCTAATGACATATCAAGTGTTTAGAAGGCACTAAAAATAAAACTGGGTTGTACCCATATCAGTTTCATGATTGCCTATAAAATACAAGGTTTGGGGGGGGAATATGTTATAAAAGAGGCGCATACGGTATTTACATTAGCCCACAGATATGTATTTGGAAATTTCATAAATCTAAAATTTTAAATCCTATCATATAAATAAACTGCCCAATGACAAATTTTTCACCCATGTCTAGAATTTAATGACTAGTGATAAGCCAAAAAATTAGCAGTCAATATAGAAGATAATAATACACTGAAAAGAAGAACTTACATAACATACCACTGACCCTTTACCTTGTACTAAAAATCGACATCTTGAAAAAGCAGTTGGTTGCTGAGATATGGCAAAAGCAGCTCTGCTTTTAATAAGAGAAGATCTGTATTCAGAAGTCAAGTTCCCAATAAAGGTTTAAGCAGTCAGTGCAATTATGTAACTTACAGTAGTTTCCTGTTTGATTTACATTTAGTCAGCAATCTGCCATTCTTAAGGTGGCAACTGCAAGAATCAAAACCACATGAAACACTGCATCAAAATTCCTATAACCCAACTTAAAGACTACACTGGGATGGGGGCAGGGAGTTTAATTCTTTTGGTTTGTTTGTTTTTTATTACAACATTAGTTATCACACTAACGTCTCCTTTAATTAAACTTAGGTAAGCAAGCATAATGTGTCTACGTTTTGAGTAAAAATAAAAACAAGACAACATGTGTTTACCATAACAATAATAAAGCTAAGCCTCTCAGAAAGCACTTACTTCATGCCGGGTATCAATTGTTCTAAACATTTTACAAGTATGAATTAATTTCATCCCCAAAGCAACCTTACAAGGTAGGTGTCATTACTACTTCCATTTTTAGTGACAATACTAAAATAGAAAGAGGCTAAGTAACTTGCCCACAGTCACATGGATAATAAAGTGAAGGAGCCAGGATTCAATCCTAGGCGGTCCAGAATCCAGACACTAGGCACTGCAGCTTATCCTGCCAGTGTAAATACTCTTTGCATTCATTTTGAACAAAGCGCTATAGGACCCCAGAAACAAAGCTGTCGGGAACCCCAGGATCCTTTGCATTTCGGGTGAAAAATTAAGTCTCCAGTTAGCACTAAGCCTCTTGGTTGGGTATCTCTCTTTCCAGTTTTTAATGGGTTAATTTCATAACAGCAGAGAAAAACTTCAGAGTACAATTAGGTGCTCATTTATGTAAATGTCTCATTTCCTTTTCCTTGCTTTGAAATAATTACATTCCAAAAATGTATATACTTTTTATTGTAAATAGGAGGACCAAATGAAAAACACCTTAATTATACATACACTGGTATTTTAATTATCTTTACATTTTTAAAATGATGAAACAAATTATAACCATTCCCTTATGTTTCCATAAAATCTTTTTCCTTCTTCTTTTGTATTTGGGAATCTAAACATGTGTATTATAAAACTGCTTCCCAAGTGACATATTCAGGAAAAGTATTCTGTACCAGCGCCACCTCTCAGAAATTCTCAAAGTTAAAAATAAATATCTAGGAAGGAAATACATCTTGGAAAACTTCCACCCATTTTTGATTGGTATACTGCATATATGCTCTCTCTTATTACTCACCAATTAATTAAGAACCACAATTCATGAACACAAATTAAGACTTTATATGGGGAGAAAATATCCCATATTACATGTATCCCCCAGTATAGGGTAGGAAAACTATTTCCGAGTCCTTTGTATACAGCATCCATCAAATGCTTTGGCTATAATATGAACTTGTCAAGGCTTCAATTTAACCTTTATCACATCCTTGAACAAGCAATTATAGCCTTTACCAGATCAACTCTTAAATTAATATCATATTTCTTATTTTAACACAGAATTGTAAAGCCTACTTGCCTGCTTTAAAAAGAATTAATTCACTGACTTGTACAGAATGAAGGTGCTCTAATGGCCACTCATAGAGACTCAACTTTAAGAAGAATGGAGTCAGATTTTACTTCCTGCCAGGGCAACATAGATACACTTTGCACAAAGGTAAACTCTTCTGTCAGGACCAGTCTTACAAAGGTGGTGTTCTGCTGATCGGCAACCTGCCTCCTATCCCCCAGCCCTCTGGCAGCCAGCTGACACTCCCAGCATCTGCACTTCAGCCTGAGTGACACAGCAAGACTCTATCTCTAAAGGTCCAAATAAATAACTACACACTGGCTAAATCTACATCTAAATCACAATGAATTACAACATAAGATAGGTATCGAAACTTGATTAATGTGATAGCAACTATTGAACAGAAAGCAGAAAAAGCCTTCTCTTTGTAAGCCTTAAGAAAGGCTAAGTGGAAGAATATAGGAATGAAACCGTATTTTTTCTAAAGGATCCACAGTACAATTTAACTCATAATTGCATCAGGTGCACTACAGTTTATATAGGTTCTGGCTTTCAACTGCATACATGTCTGTTATCATATGGAAAATCTTTACTAATTAAATAAAATTGAGATTAACCTATTCTAGTGGAAATCAATATATAGTATTTGACCTATGAGTCAAAAGAGATATATTAGTCAGTGGAACAACACGTAGATAAAAGAAGGAGAAGAACAAAGAGTTTTATTTCCTAAACTCCACACAGTGCCGATTTTAAGAAAAGAAGTTTAGCATATAGGAATTTAAAACATCTCTGGGTATCTCATATGTTTATTTATATCCTGATTACCTAAGCTGAAAAAAAAATCAAGTAAAATATAAAACCTCTTTGGGGTTCAATCTAACCATGTGTAAAATAAGGATATCGTAGGCTAGATTATCTCTAAAGTAATAAACAGACCTAATTCCATACCTGTAGCAAAACCTAAAAGGGCACAAGACAGAACTAACATTTCCATTAGGCTTTTAAGAATAGATAAGAAGTATTATTTAAATGGTCTTACACCTAACTATGACTGACACTTGCTAATTACAAATCTCAAAAAAAGTCACTTTCTAATCTTATCATTGTTGCCCAAATAATTTTCTGAGGATTTTATCTCCTTGAACATCTCATTCTAGTGCAATACTTAATATTATATTTTTACAGTAGCTACATAAACATCTAAATAGTGGCCCCAAATAGGAAGATGAGCATGCATCTTTTTCACTGGGCTCATGATAAGAGCAACACGTAGAAACTGGAATAAAGCAGAGGACAGTATTTGCACTGGTTGTTCAGCAGTGATTCTGCATGTTTATCAAAACAAAAGCATGTGAGTCAAGAGATGTCATCACAGATGTGGTCACACTTCCATAATAAGGAACTAGGTGTTTTCTGTGTCCAGACAAATGGGAGATCTGAATGGCTTTAGCAGTGTCCCAAAGTGACCAACGTGATAGGAATTTAGGTGAACAGAATAGATTAATTCTCTTCAGTTGAAAAGCAGATTCAATTTTGGAAGTATGTTTCTTTTAGGATGCTCATTTCTGCATCTTCTCAGCATTTGGAATAAACTCCACTTAGGTACATATGTACCCCTTAACTAGCAAATTCACTTCTATTAATTTAAAATTAAAATTAGGCTTTGGTTGAAGGCCACAGCACAGCTTTAAGGAAATTTCAGCATGGAATAGAGTAGAAACAGGATTTCTGTTTGCAATCAACATTTTACATAGTAATTCATGGTCTCTGATTAAAACAAGGGTCACATTTTCCCTACTATATAGACCTCAGAGCACTCAGAAAGATGGCATGCATTCAGAAGACAAACAAAACTGCTTTTTAAACTAATGATGATGTTCAGTTGGAAGAATTTGTGAATTTTTTTAAATGAAAATATTTAGACCTCTAATCACCTTGATTCTGAAGCAGTGTCCTGTCTAGTACAACAGGAAAACAAGGAATGGAATTAGCACACACAGAGAGATATGTCCAAATCAGGATTCAGAATAAAAGGCATTCCCGTAAATCATCAATAAGTCATGGTATGGTTACTTCAATAATGAACCACAATAAATAATTACACTATTTTTTTTTCACAGAATAAAGAGAAATATAAAACAAAAACTTTACCACAAAGTACTTTATCATCAAAGATTTTATTTTCCTATTGAAAAGTTTTATAAGTAAATAGAAATCATAGCTATCATTTACTTTTTTGACTGTCATTTACTTCTGAGCAATGAATTTCAATATAAATAATTTTTTAAGTATAGGCTTAAAACCTGAGAAGCAATTATAACAAGTAACAAATATGCCTGTGATAATAATACTTAATAAACAGATGTTATAAAAATATACCATATCATCATGTAGAATTACAGTTTAGCTACTAAACAATGAAATAACATTAAACTTTAAAAAATTAATTCACGGTAAGGTTAAAAAAAATACACCCATTCCCTCTCCTCTATCATTTCAGTTACGTGCAAAAAAACCTACTAACCAACTATTAAAAAGATCTTGGCTCCTTTTTCTCAGCCTGCTTAAAAACAGTAACCTAACATGTTTTCAATAATTCAGGATAGCAGTCCTGGAAAAGGATGCTAAATCTGAATTTAAAATTTCAAATTAATGTGCTTTTGAAAAAAGTAATAGTATTGTTAACCTATCTCCTACCCTATCCTGTTTCCCTACTTGACTATGCATGTTTAGAAATCCATTTTATGCAACTGATAAGATATTAGGTACCCCAGTGACAACAAAATTATAACTGACAGTACTATGAACCTTCTCCCCTCAGTGTTCTGAATAGTTCCAGATATCATGGTAATTATGTATACATGATATTCTCTTTAAAACAAGTGATAATGAGAATGTAGAGTTCAGAAGCCAGTGGGGTTCAGAAACCATGCTCTTGAATATCCTTTTTCTTTGGAAATACACCCTAAAGTTTTAAGAGTAAAGGGACACGATGCATGCAACTTATTCACAAATGGCTTAGGATGAGGAAATATAGACATGTACATATATGTATGTATATATATGTAAATGGACCAAAAGTTATAAAGCAAATGTAGCAAAATATAAAAAATTGATTAACCTAAATAAAGGGTTAACAGGAATCCTCTGCAATATTTCTGACAACTTTAGTATAAATTATAAGTTATTTCAAAATACAAATGAAAAAACTCTCCAAGCTTCTAACTAGTAAATTTATGTTGAAGTGACTTACTAATTGAGATAAACCTATTAAGAGACCATTCTGTCCAACAATTTTACTACTGTGTATTTAATCATCAATAATGTATATGTAGGTACACTTAAAGACATGTACAATAATAGTGAAGACAGGACTCTTCAAAGCCAAAAACCTAGAAACAACCCATATGTCTATTCACAAAAGAACGGAAAAACTGAGATGTATTAAATGGAATACTATATACCAATAAAATGAATGAAATAAATGCTCATTAAAACAGGAATAAATCTCACAAACAAATGTCAGTGAAAGATGCAAAATAAAAGAATATTGCCTGTATCATTCCATTTATATAAAGTTCAAAACCAAGCACAGCTAATCTAGGATATCTGAGGTCAGCATGGGGATGGTGATTGGATGGGGAAATGGGAGGAGCCACAGGCATGCTGCTGGCATTCCATTTACTGACTGGGGTGAAGGAAAAACAGTGCTGTTCACTCTGTGATAATCCACTGAGCTGTGTGCTTTTAATTAGTGTCCTTTTCTGGGAAAACAATTTTTTTCAAGTATAATTTTGGCCTATTGATTTTATGCTGTCAAACTTAAAAAGTATAGAGAAGGGTACAAAAAAGTCCTCTAGGGTTTTTAGAATTGCATACAACCAAGAAAACATTAAAACATACAGAAAACAATGATTTTTAATGATCTTAGAAATTTTAAAGTTTGCCATATATTTCAATTTAGCACTTCAAACAACACTGCTGCAACACGGTGAAATTTTTCAACCTGAAACTAACGTGTATTTGCCCTGTGACTTCAATATCCTTCTATTAGAATGAGGTATAGAGGGCTTTGGGAAGCTATTGGCAAAGTAATACCAACAACTAAGCAGGAACTCCTGAAAGCAAATGAATAACCTTATATTAAACAGTATGAACAATCAGAAGCCACCACTTCTGTGCTTTACATCCTAGTCACAATTAACCTTTGATCTTCTTAATGGCCTGGTTCACTCAGGAAGGAAACTGGAATTCCCCACATGCTCACTTAACCAAAAATAACAATAAGAAAATGCAAATAGGTTTGGTTGAAAGTGTTGTGTTCTTATTAGTAGGCAGGATTACAGAGATAAGGCAATTGATATCTTTATGTATATTTCTGGTTTTCTAAATTCATATTCTATATATCTTACACTAGTTTTGTGGTTATCTCCTTTAAAATTTCCTCCCTAAGATTGTTCTTGAAAGCACTCTACAGTAAATTGTTCATATACTTTCTTCACAATAAATCAAATTCAATGTTTGAACATGACTTTGTACTAATTCAGAGGAAAGTTCAAGATCAAAATTATATTAATCCAGTATTGGTTATCTCTCTCAAAGTGAAAAAAAGGCATACATGGACAAAAGACACTCAGAGATAATTTAATAATTAGTCTAATTTAGTGAGTGAGTGCTACCTAGTTATCTGTTAACTTTTAGCATTTCTTGGGTCTAAGATAAATAGGCCAAAAGAATATCCAAGAAGATGTTAATGGCACACAGGCTAGTGGATGACATGTATTCCTCTAATGACTACAAAAATTGCCAATTATTAAACAACGAAAAACAACCCAAATATCCATCAGCAAGAGAGTGAATAAACTGCAATGTATGAAATGGAACACTATACAGCAATAAAAATGAATAAGTCAAGTTATATACAGAAGCAGGAATGAACCTCACAAACATCTACTCCACCAACAAATTTAGAAAGGTTCCCAACTAAGCCCACTACTTTCTAGAGGCTGCAGCACTCCACTAAGAATTTGAGTGATCAATATTATTGCATGTATAATTTCAATTGCTTTAAAAAGTGATTCTCCAAAAATCACTACATCTAATTTTGTGTTACTAAAAGAACAAGCAGTAAGATTTAACAGGCTATACCTTTTCCATACCGGGGATAAAAACAAAACAAAATAGAATGTTCACAAGATTCAAGAGATCCCTCATAGATCCCGTATCCTATCTCAGAGTTGCTATCAATATGATCTTGAAACCGCTGTGTGATTTATATTGAGATTCAGAAAAGTCTGTCATTGAAAACTCAAAGAAATGCCTAGGAAATATTTCTATATACTTAAAAATAAAGATATTATGGTATCTATCAGTTTAGTACAATTGTTTTCAATCAGTGCCTTTTGAATTCCATTAAATATGTCTAGAAAGCCCAAGAAAATGAAAGGCATGATTAGGGAAGCTTTGCTTAGTATATGTCAGCATCGACGTGCTAACAATACAAAGCTTAGACTTTGGAGTTTGAGAAAAAGAAACACCCAAATAATACGAAAAAACATAATTCAAAAGATAATCATGTCATCAAAAAGCTTTAAAACTACTGGTTGAAAAAGTTTTCTTAATAAAATTAATTGGAATTGAAACCAATATATTAGAAACAGATTAGAACAAGCACAACACGGGGATGCATAAATGTCACTCCAAAATTAATCAACCACTTTTTAGTAACATATTAGCATATCACTGCAGAAAATTTCGCTTTGCAAACAGAGGACACTGATCTCACCTGATTTCATTTTCATACTGTGGGGACAGTCTACCTGAATTCTGGTAAAAGCTTTTCAGGAAAGAGGGGGCAGTGAAGGAAGGGGCAGAGAAGGAAGTGTGAAGACTTGGAAGACTGGAGGAAGAATTACTCTCCTTGTGCATGCGTCGAACTGACGAAAGAGTGCTGAGTACAGAAAATACAGCAAATTTGTCTTAATTTATATTTTGGCAAAATCTTCATTCACTATGAAAAAGCATATAAACAGGTTCTTGCTATTGATTTAATCTTTCCTAAGGCTCAGTGCTGGATCTTACATTAAAAAAAAAAAAAAAAGCATGCAGTTCTCTATTTAGATAACTATGATCTAATTTCATTCTCTCATAATTTGAATTCCTTATCTGCGCAGTATTTCTCAGCATCTGTGTTTGTCTCTAAAAAATTCTTAACAAGTTGAGGACAGAAAGTATTTGTTTTCACATGCAAAAGATACTTCAAGGGAAAAAAGTAGGAAAGCACAAATAATTACAGGAAACAAGTTCCAGAAGGAAAGACTGATTATCACTAGTTCAAAGACTTTGACTATTTTAAAGATATAAACCCTTCTAAATACTTAAGAACAACATGTTTGGTTGTTAGAAGTTATCATAATGCCTTTGGCTTAACAAACATTGATGTCCGTGTTCTTTCCTGAAGACAGTGGAATTGTGCCACTATGGTTGAATTGAAAGCCCAAAATCTAGAAAATTCTTTCCATAGCAAGTTTTCACAATGACACAGAGAGCAGCTTTTTATAGTGACAGAAATTGTTTGAACTGACACATTATAAAATGTGGAAAACAGAGGGAAGAATTAAGGTATTTATCATCTAAAACGATTGATGTCTTTCATTCTTGAAAATATTTTTTCCTAGGGAAAAAAGAGTTCTATTGTCTTGAGTAAATATAAAGGAAGTGATCATTTAAATATCTTGATATACATATGAACATTTAATATCCTTTACACACACATACACCAAAAAAAAAATCTGAGAATAACGAATTCTGTTAATTTCATTTTTGTATTGTAAAATATCTCATTTTTAAATTCTGAAACATTCAGAAAACAACAATGAAAATAAAACCTTAAAAGAAATGCTGGCAAATTTGATAACACCTGATATAAAAATTAGCCTTCTCCTTTCACATCTAGCTGTATTTTTTTTTCTCTCCAACCAGCATCTTTACTTAACCCTATTTTCTGTATCAGGTTCATAGGTAAAGAAGAAAAACAAAATGAGTTCTAAGATATAAATTTGATCTGTGTTACACAGGAAGAAGGAAATCATTCCAAGTTTATCTTCTTTACTGTTTCTCACCAAATGTCAAACAACGTTTTGTTAAATTATGTTTTAAATATCACGTAAGATCATTTTTGGTGGACACTGCCCGTCAATTATGGTATATATAGTCTTCTTGATAGATATCACCTTATTCTAGATAAAATCGATAACTATTTTCATATTTAGCTTTATTATGTAACAAAATATAATCGAATATTATCTCATGTATGAAAGTAACTTGGGCGACTTTTAAAACGCTGGTATTTTATTGTAAGCTAACATGAAGTTCTACTGCTATGTTATTTTCAAATCTGCTGACTTTTTTTCTCTAGAATCATCATCAAGGCACTGAATAACATGTCATCAGCAGATTTCAGACAAAACAATTGCACAGTTATCTTGTTTCTTCCACTTTTCTAAGAGGAAAAAAAAAGGGTTTCCACCCAAATGAATTAACTCTTCTTTTTAGGTATGCCTTAACCTTGCCTGTTTCCCCTAATAAATGAGGTAACGTAATTTGTTTTGATGATATTTCTCAAAACCAAAAGTTGGCTACAGCATAAAGTCACAATCCACCCTGCCTCCAGAGTAATCAAAACTGTGTGCCATGAGAATCTAGGTCACATTCTGGAGAGAGGGTCAGACTCACCTGCACTGTTCACTGGAGCTCTGCCTCAGCAGAGGAGAACGTACACCCTGAGTCCTCCCATCCTGCAAATTCAACTTTCTCTTTGTACTTGAAGGTGGGTGGCTGAACGTGTGTGCCCGTCTTCGAAACTGCGGGGAGTCAGAATCCTCTTCCGGAAACGTTTGCCAAGCTGAGGACAGGGGGGATGCTGGCGGTGTCCCTGGTGGAGAGTCCCCTGGTGAGTAGTCCTGAAACACAAGCAGAAGGGAGCCCCTTATTTCCCATGTGGGTCATGGCAGACCTGCTAAAACACAGAGCACTCAAAAGTGACAGTGTGCCTGCCTCATCTTCCTCTTGAGTCATGACAAAACTGTGCTTTTCTCCCCCTTTTACTCAATTTATGCTGTAGGCTAATCAGTTTCACTATAACCCATTATCTTCTGATAAGCAGCTGTAATCAGTATCACCACAACTCACTTATCTTCAGGTAGACAGCTGTAAGAGCATCCATAAAGACAGCCCAGAAAGTGAAAGGCATGACAAAAAGGCAGAAGATATTCTCTTCCCTGACACTTGGAGGTGAAATGCTATAGCTACTGTACTTCTCTCACTGTTGCCAGAAAGATGAAAAAAGATCATGACCAAAAGAGGGTGGAGTCTGTGTTTCCGGATCTCCTGGCTTCCGTGACATATCAATTGCATGCTTCCTGTACTGCCAAAACAGTATTACAATGTCTAAGTGTCCAAGTCTCATGGCAAAGCCTTCCGGAAAATAAAGTCTGTTAAGTATCTTCCCTCACTGTGGATGTTTCTATCCAATTACATGTTCCCTGAGGTAAATTTCTTTTAAAGCACATGAAAAACAGGAAATGAATGAAAACCGAGCTATGCTGGAATGTGTCTCATATTGCATGGGGAGACATCATAAATCTTTCCATTTAGACAGGTATGCTGTTAAAACTTTCCAGAATGGGCACCACTGTAGAAATGTTTAGCTTGATAACATGGGTTAGTGATAATAGGCTCATAGCTGGAATAAGTCCCCACTTCCATCAACAGAAAGCTGAATAGAAACCTTTTAATATATTTCCACTTAAAAAAAAATAGGTTGCATGTGCCTCAGGTGACATGCTGTACTGCAGGAAGCAGGAAACCAAACCTATTGAGAGTTGTCAATGAGATAAAGAAGATCCCAGTGTTGCAGCTAAAAAGATAAAAAAAAAAAAAAATGAGAGGGAAAAGTACCATGGAAAGGGAACAAAAAAAATCACTGTACAAGTAAACTAATCAGTAAGACATGGCTCATTTTTACAAGGCTTTGGATCAATAGTTGATCAAACACTGCTGTCCAAAGCATACTATCTCTAATCAATAAAAAGCCTAACAGAGCACAGTTAGCCTGTAAGGGAATAAAGAGCTACATGCTAATGCCTAGAATCTTCTTTTTTAAAATAATAAAGTCTCAAATATTTACTTTTTAAAAAGCTGTAAAGCATTCATAATAAAGTAATGGAGCATGCATATTACCGTATCAGTGCTGACTTTGTTAAGCTGCAATTAGTGTAAACGAGCTGTAGTTAGATACCTTCTCTGAGGCAAGACTGTTGGACCGTTCAAAACTGTCCACACTTCCCAGCCGACCTCTCATTCTGTTAGCTCCCTGAGTGAAAAGAATAAAATGAAATGCTTTATGTAATTTAAAATTTTACTTCAAAACTATAAAAGGTAGTTCCAGGTGGCTTCTTAATGTTAGCATTAAATTAATCCTTTTGTGGTTCACTCAAATTTGTTGGCTATATTAATAGTCATTATAGCATGGTAAAAAGAACTTTTCCTGAACTATTTCCATTATTTCGAAATCAGCTGTTAGGTAACTAGATACTCAGACCAAGCTTTTTTGAAGTTAGTTTGGTTACAGGATTACATATTATTCATCCGTAAGTCCAGTGAGGGCCCTATTAACTCTGCCTCAGATTCAAATATGGAAGATACAGTGGAACAAACAAAAATGCTATGCAGAAAATGACTTAATGCATATAACCCAGATCAACACACCATAATTCACATTGTAGGATTATAATTATCACCAGTTAAAAACAACATAGAAGAAAGCACATTCTAAAATTTATAGGTTTTGTTTCATTCATTATTGCATAATCTAAAATGATTTCAATAAATCATTTAATTCTGGAAGACTCGATATCAGTCCGCTTCAATACTGGTGAATTGGTTATCGACTTTTTTCCACACAGTCCTTTTGTGTGAATTTTACAAATGATCTCAGAAAGAGATCTAAGAGACCACCTAAGATCTAAGAAACCCAAGAACCCACGAGATCATTTTGCCTGTTCCCCTCACTTTAGGAAGAAACTGAGGTCAACTATAGAAGGAAAGCAGATGCAAGTCAGGTTGGAAACTTCATCATCCACAAGATCTTAAAAGACAAAACACACACTGAGGAGTTCAACACCACTCTAGAACATGTGGTGACGTTCTAAAACAGAATGAGTGGAAACACCAGTCACCTCCGTGTGACAGTGACCCTGTGAAATTTTTAAAAAATGCGTAACATTTGCATCATACTTTCCAGGCTTAAAGTCTATCTCCAAACATCCTTGGGTTTATTTGTGGGGTGGTAATAAGAGGGGGCTGAATTTCATTTTAATTTTTAATCAAAGCAATATCAGCACAAAATGTCAAAAGTGAAATTGTGCTATCAAGCTTGTAATGAGAAGTGGTGGTCACCAACCCCTTTGTAGCACTTTGAATCCCACTCCCCAAAAGCAAACTTGGAATTATTTATATTGATATGTATGGTATTCAGCTTATTCTATCGTTCCTTAAGTTTTCTATTTTAGAAACTATCTATTGACTTCCTAACTCTGGAAGATGAAACTTTAATATTCTTACTTCATTATACACTCAGTTCCACCACGCCACACACACACACCCCTCTCTTGCCCTCTTCCTTCAATATAGTTACATCACGAACTTTGGTTACATTAGTACTTTGTGCTTATATTCTTATGACTCTGTAAATATCGTCTGCAGCTGAGCTACATATTTTACTATGATTATGTCTGATTACACCTCATATCTTGTATATTTTGTTCTTCATGAAGTTAGTGACTACTTCAGCAATCACAAATTTATTACAAAACTCTCCTACAGTTCACAATATGTCAAATATCACCACATAAACCATCAATTACAACTCCTTCCACCCTCCCTCCCTCCCTCTGTTCCTCCCTCCCTCCCTCCCTCTCTCTCTCTCTCTCTCTCTCAATTTTATTTTTTTTTAAGCTACCATTATGGGGACCTCTGTGTTTCTGCCGCAATCTGGACATGTTACAATGTAGGCTTGCTCTACAAATCTTCCTAGGATTTCCCTTCACTATCAACCCCGAAATTTCCTTTGACCCTCTCCTCTGTTGGAATTTCTGTTTCCTTGGTTCCATGTCTTCTCCTTTTTTCATTTACTTCCTCATTTTGGTGAGGCACATTTTCCTGGTGCTTTCTGAGAAAGGGAGAGTGGGAACTAAGTTTTTTAAAAAATGTGCAAGTCCATAAATGTCATTAGTCTACGCTTGTATTTCATTAATAGTTTGCCTAGATATTGTATATCATAGCGGTTAGAAATTTTGCTTCCAAGTATCTTAGCATTGCTCAAATGTCCTTTGGTTGAGAAGTCTAAAGCCATTGTGATTCTAGAGCATGTGTGTTTGACATGTTGTTTCTCTTCGGAACAGAATCTAAGTTTGCCCTTGGGCATTGAGAAATTTCACAACGTGCCTTAACGTGACTTTTACTCAGTCACTCTGTTGTGTACTTTCTGAGCTCACTAAGTCTGGAAACTCAGGCTCTTTAGCTCTGAGAAATTTTTAAAATTATTTCGTTCAAAATTTCCTTGTAGGCATTTTTTCTTACTGGAAGTCTTACTGTTTGGCTCCTGACCGATCCTTTAACTTTGTACCCGGTTCTCCTATTTTCCATTTCTTTGTCCTTTTGCTCCATTTTCTGAAAGGATTTTTTTCAACTCAGTTTCCAAGCCTTCTATTGAACTTTTCTTTTTAGATCTACTATTAGAAAGTTTTAGCAGTTCTTTCTTGTTTTCAAATGACTAGGTTTTATTTACAGAATCCTGTCTTGTTTCATAAAGCAGTATTTATTCTTATCTGTATGTATTATAGCTTTATCTCCAATGGCTTACTATATCATAAGTACAACAATGATAAAATAGCTGCACCGAATATTGTTGAATGCTTATCACGTGCCATACACTATGTGAAGCATTCTGCACTGCATTCACTCACTCAGTCCTCATCACAATTGTGAGGTAAGTATAGTTATTTAGCCCATCTTCACAGATAGAGACTGAGGTTCTGAAAGATTACATTGCCCAAGTTTACACAGCTATCTATATGCCAATCTGGTTATCTCAGAGAGGTTGTTTGGTCATAACAGACAAAGTAGTCAGATGGGTATCAAACCATTCCAATTATTAGAAAAACAACTGAAATTTCATCACCGATTTTACTCATAGTGGTGTTTTACCCACATGTGCTTTCTTTGTGCACAAAGAAAAACAAAGTTACTTTAAAATTATACTCTACCACTTCACACATTTCAACAAGTAAAGATGTGGATGTTATTCTGAAGAAAGTAGAAAATGAGGACTATTTTCAAAATAACTTGCACTTTATATTAGTAAATATTGGCTTGGCATGGTGGCTCATGCCTATAATTTTAGCTCATTAGGAAGCTGAGGCGGGAGGAATGCCTGATCCCAGGAGTTCAAAACCAGCCTGGACAACATGGCAAGACCCTGTCTCTACAAAAAATGAAAAGAAAATTTGCCAGGCTTGGTGGTATGTGGCTGTGGTCCTAGCTACTTGGGAGGCTGAGGCGGGAAGACTGCTTCAGCCCAGGAGTTTGAGGCCACAGTGAGCTATGATCACACCACTGCACTCCAGCCTAGGTGACAAAGCAAGACCCTATCTCAACAAAATAAAATAAAATTTATATTTGTAAATACTCTGTTTTGGAAAGCAGCTGAAAAAGAAAATAAAAAACAGCCACTACAATACATGATTCTGATTTTCACCTTTGAACAGACAGCTTTTTCTGTTTTACCACATTATGATTTGCTAATTCATGTGTCAGGCTCTTTCCCTTGGGCCTGCTCTTTAGTAGTTAATGAGCTGAGCTTCCAAGCATTTTTAAAAAATGGATCCTATTTCATAAACAACTACAGTTAGCTATATAAAATATTTTGACATTTAAAAAGGGAAGCAATTATCAACTAAACTCTGTAACTGCAGTGTGAATTTTCTACGATCCAACTCAGCAGGAAACAAAAGACAAGTTTTAGAAGTACACAAAACCTCTTTTGCTATGTAACCTTGAATACAACATGGGGAGCTGCCAACGTGCCCAACAAGTGCATTCTGCAGCACATGGTACAAGCAAGACCTTGTTGGGTCACAAAATGTATGTCCCTTGGCATCACTCTGGGAAACAAAAGCTACAGTATCCACTTTTATCAAAACTGATGGCTGTGCCCTTGCTGAAGGTGTCATTACAGCAATTGAAGGCATGCGAAAAAAGACTTCAAAGTTGGCACTGCAGGTATTATGCAGGATGCCAAGGTACTAAATGGAGACAAAATAACACCTTAAATACCCTTTGCCATTTTGTAAATGACAGAGGTTTTGAGCTTACCACTGAATATACCACCTCATATCTATAATGTGATATTTCCCTAACATACTAACATTTAATCCTCACAATTACATGAGGCAAGTGGGTATTCATATGTCCATTTCACAAATGAGAAAACTAAGGCTTAGAAAACGCAAATAATTTATCCAGGATCTTAAATGTAAAATCTGCTAGGGCCAGGTATTACATTCAGTTACCTGACACCTACTTAAATGGTCTTTTCTGCTAAAATTTTCACTAAACACCGTATTCAATTCAGGTGGCTGATGCTGTTTCTGATGCTCGTGCTTTAAGAATTACACTTCCCCATTTATTTTATTGCATTTTAGGTTTTGGGGTACATGTGAAGAACATGCAAGATATGACACAAAGGCTGCCTTTTCAGCTCTAAACTGCCTCTCCAGATGTATTAGTCCATTTTCATGCTGCTAATAAAGACATCTATCCACTGAGCAAAATCTTAAAAAAAAAAAAAAAAAAGAATTGCACTTCCCTTAAGTAAGTGTAATTGCATCAGCATCATCCCGAGGGCTTGTTAAAACCCAAATTACTAGACCCCACCCCTAGAGTTTCTGATTAAGAAGGTCTGGGGTGAGGACCAGGATTTTACTAATTTATAAATTTTAAAGGAAAAAGGCATAAATATTTTATAAAATTTGCGTCAGCATACTTCTGACAAATCTCCTAGATGTTCCATTCTGAGATTCAGTTTTCCACTGATAAAATAATGGCATTCACAATTTACCATGCTTGCTGCAGGGCTTCTGTTAAAGTTAGAAGGATCTCTATAATTTTTTTTTTTTTTTCAGAATCCATGCTTTATTTAGCTTTGCATCTATTTGGCCTAACAAAATATCAGACACAAATGGATATCAAGGGATCTCTATCATCAAGAGAATAACCAGGAAAGTATTTTGAGCCATAACAAAGAAACGAAACTAGGAACACCGGATATCAGAAGTTATTGGGTCCTAATGCTCTGTTGTACAAGCATGGAAAAACTCAAAATGTATCCAAGTATTTAACTAAACATATTCTTATAATGCTATTAAGGTTAAACAGATTGAAATAATATTTTTAAAAACAATATGCATTTGCAAATAAGTGGTTAATTCAAAGTTCCTCTCAAAGTCTAAGAATTTATATCACTCATTTGCCTCTTTAAAGACATTTAGAGATCACTAAGGAAGACATTTATAGACTGAAGATGAAATTTTCTTTGTGTATTAACATAAAGGACAGAAGACTTTAAAAAGTCATCAAGGAGGCCAGGCACAGTGGCTCACGCCTGTAATCCCAGCACTTTGGGAGGCCGAGGTGGGTGGATCACGAGGTCAGGAGTTCAACACCAGCCTGGCCAAGATGTTGAAATCCTGTCTCTACAAAAAATACAAAAATTAGCTGGGCGCAGTGGCACGTGCCTGGAATCCCAGCTACTCAGGAGGCTGAGGCAAGAGAATTGCTTGAACCTGGGAGGCGGAGGTTGCAGTGAGCCGAGATCGCGCCATTGCACTCCAGCCTGGGTGACAGAGTAAGACTCCGTCTCAAAAAAAAAAAAAAAAAAAAATGTTATGAAGGGTACAATTTGAAACTTAGTTCACAGGAGTTACGAACCAGTCTTACTACGTGGTTTTCACAGGCAGTGTGGTGGGTTCAGAAAAGAGCCCTTATTGATGATCATTCGGATCCATTAATAACCTGAGCTATTTATTAACACATGAAAACAGCAAGCAGAAAAAATAAATTTTAAAAAATGCCCCGGGTGGGCTTTGTGAGTTATGTGTGATAAGCTGATTTAAAGCGATCACTTTGTTTCTCTTTTTTCATTTTGAAACAATCTCAAATGCAGAGGAAAGTTACAAGTGTAGTACAAAAATGTTCTTTTCCCGCAAGGATTTACACATAAGTTACCAACATAAAACTCCATTACCCTGAACTACTTTACTGTGTATTTTGTATAAACAAGGACATTCTCCAATATAACTAAAATACAACTTTCAAAACCAGGACACTGACATTGATACAGTAACACTACTGAATTTTCAGACTTCACGCCAATTCCATCAGTTGTCCCAATAATGGCTTTTAGGGCAAAAGGATCCAATTCATGATCTGCCATTCCACTTAGTTTTTCTGTTTCTTTAGGGTCCTTCAATCTGGAATTATTCCTCAACCTTTTCTTGACTTTCTTGAAGACAACAGGTTTGTTATTTTGTAGAGTCTACCTCAATTTGGGTTTGTTGACATTTCCCCATGATTAGATTCAGGCACTGCCTATTTGGCAAGAATACCACAGAAGCAGTTCTGTTTATTATCAGGTGACACAGGACTGAAATTTGTCCCACTGCCGATGATGTTCAATTTGATCGCTTCATTAGGGTGGTGTCTGCCAGCCTTCTCCATTGTAAAGTTATTTTCCCATTAGTAATTAACAAATATTAATTACATACAGCAAATAACTTCTTTATGATCAAACTTTCAATATATTCATTTATTTTTCATATCAGAAAGTAGTTTCCTATTTTATACAACAGGTTAGGGTCTCTATTGCTATCATTTACGTTAATTCCTTTCTCCCTGGATCCCACTATCCTTAAGACATTTACTTACTTGATCAGTCCCTGTATGTATAGACCCATCTCCACAATGGCCACTGCACAGACACTTCAGGCTGTGCCGCTCCATGCTGGGGCTGCCACCCCGACACATGCACATCCTCAGCCTGCTCAGGCGCCCGTCCCTGTGAATACCCACTCCCCTCCACTGTGGCTCCGACACCCCGCACTGGGCCTTCCCTCTGCCAGCCTGCTGCCTCTTGTGACCTCCCCCAGGTTCCCCTTCTCTGCTGATTCCCTCCTCACTGCGAGAGGCTCCCACACCCTGCATCAGGCCACCCCTATGTTCCACACCCCATTAGGACAGTCTCCCTGCTCTGAGCCACCATGGGTCACCCTTGCCACAGCCCAGACATCCACCTAACTTGACCTCACCTAACAGCTCTAAGATAGAATTGTTCAGGAAGAGGAAAATGATAGTGAAGGGGAACCAGTTTGCTTATTTTAAAATGGAATATATACACGTACTAATATATAAATTTCTATTAATTTTATATAAAATTTTATATATAATTATAGCCTGAAGTGTCTGTGCAGTGGCCATTGTGGAGATGGGTATATACACACAGGGACTGATCAAGAGGAAAATCAAATTGAAAGAGAACCATTTTGCTAATTTCAAAATGGAATATATACATTTACTAATACATAAATTTCTATTAATTCATACTTTGTTCAGCACTTCCTCTAAGTTCCTAAGAATGGCTGATATGGTTTGGATCTGTGTCTCCACCCAAATCTCATGACAAATTGTAATTTCCAATGTTGGAGTTGGGGCTTGGTGGGAGGCGCCTGGATCCCGGGGATGGATTTCTTAAGAATGGTTCAGAAAATCCCCTTGGTGCTGTTCCCATGATAGTGAGTTATCATGAGATCTGGTTGTTTACAAATGTGCAGCACCTCCTCATTCTCTCTCTCCTGTTCTTGCTCCCACCATGTGAGATGTCTCATTCCCTCTTTGCCTTCCACCATGACCAGAAGCTTCCTGAGGCCTCTCCGGAAGCAGAAGCCACTATGCTTCCTGTATAACCTCCAGAACTCCGAGCCAATGAAAACTCTTTTCTTTATAAATTACCCAGTTTCAGGTATTTCTTTATAGAATGTGAGAATAAACTGATATAATGGGAAAAAGAAGAATTTCTTTATAACATTCTATGAGAAATGATTTTTAAAGCTCTTACAGTATTGAGCATCAATACTGTATTGAGTATTCTATTTCACCTTTTCTACACATATACACATATTGCTATTACTAAATCTCTATTGCTCAAATTCAAATAAAGGCCCCAGAATAAATCTTGATCTGAGAGGGAAACTTATTATGAAAGATCATTTTGGGCTGGGCATGGTGGTTCACAAAGTGCTGTAATCCCAGCACTTTGGGAGGCCAAGGCAGGTGGATCACCTGAGGTCAGGAGTTTGAGACCAGCCTGACCAACATGGTGAAACCCTGTCTCTATTAAAATACAAAAATTAGCTAGGTGATGTGGTATGCCCCGGTAATCTCAGCTATTCGGAAAGCTGAGGCAGGAGAATCACGTGAACCTGGGAAATGGAGGTTGCAGTGAGCCAAGATTGCGCCATTGCACTCCAGCCTGGGTGATAAGAGTAGAACGCTGTCTCAAAAAAAAGAAAAAAGAAAGAAAAATCTTTTTGATAACAACTAATTTTTAAAAGTTATCTTAGGTTTTTACTTTTTTTTTTTTTAATGGAAATCTGTGAACCAGTTGAGACTGAAGCTGAACTGTTAGAAAACACAGACATACATACTTAAAAGACCATCAGTGCAATCTTACCCTTGAGAAGATATTTTCCAGGGAGCTAGTTAAGGATCTCTTAGCTTTATTTTTCAGAATGTCAAGTTTGAACCTTCCACTGCTTGTTGCATTTTCTGGGATTGTACTATTTGAAATAGTCTAAAAAAAGAAAAACAGATGCATTTTAGTTTGGAAATACTCAAGATTAAATGAGACTTTAATTATAGGCTTAAAACTAAGCTATTAAAAAAAACACAAGAATTCTTCAGTGGCTCAAATAAGCAATAATTTAGGTCCCACATTGTGAACACAATGATTATAAGGAAAGGGGTTTAATTTTTAATATTTTAAGTAATAAAAAGACGGACGCAAAATATTTCCTTCATGACTTTCCTTTCCATGACTACATTCCTGATGCATTTAGCAAAAATTATACTTGAGATGTCGATTTTTCTGCTGCTATTCTGATTAACATCTATAACCATCCCTTTCTAAGATGGATATTTTATTCCAAATTACCAAGGAAATCACAGAACACAAGTTCCAAAGAACAAAGCATTTTCCAAACAAAACTGGATTCTGCTAATGCCTCTGTTATAATTCCATTTTCATTGGTGAGTGGGTCATTTATCGCTTAGATCACAAGTATAGAATCAAGCTGTGTGAGAATCTACCATGTGTCCACTATTTTAGGTTCTCCATGTATTTTATCCCATTGAAGTAGGCAGCTACTGTGTATATCACACGGTCCTTAGTAGCAGAAAACTTTCAATCAAGGAACCTTATGATTTGCCTGGGGAGGAAATAGCAACACAAAGCACGTGTAAGTGTCAAATACGAAAGCAGGAAGTTCGCTGTGGGTCTAAGCAGCCAGGAAGAAAAGAATACACAGGATTCAGACAGGCAGGAAGAAAGGGATGAAGACTTCCCCAGAAACTGGAGATAGTTGTTGGCAAAATGCTAAATTCTGCTTAAGGGACACAGAGTCAGTGCACGTATTTGGTTAAAATATTATTTTCCGTTACTTTTAATGGCAAAAACTGCAATTACTTTTGCACCTGCCTAATAGAAGGGAGAAGTAGAAGGTAACATGAGAAAGTCAGGCTGGAAAAAAAAACCTTGAATGTTCTTAAGTGCCAGGTAAACAGGAAGAATTCGTAATCCAAACTTATAACCCGAGGGAAATCCCTGTGATTGTCATGTTTTAGGGAGAGTTATCTAAAAGGAGTGTTTAAAAACACACCTAAAAAACTGGAAAATCAGAGGCTGAAAGATCAAACTGAACTGGAGGCTTCAGCAGAGTCTACGTAGGAGGCAATAAGGGCCCACATTAGTACCCGCTCCATCAAATCAGTTAAGAAGTTACAGATGCAAGAAAGGCCCGCCAAGAAAGGAAAGGAGAGGAGAGAAAACAATGGGTATGAATGTGGGCTGGATGGGGCTTAGGTATGTATAAAACACTGGGATCACTCATTATTCTACGGCTTCCAGATAAACAAATGTGGCAAAAACAGAAAATTGTATGGACACTCAGCAAATATAAGACACACAGTAGCGGCTCAGTAAATACCACTTGAATAAATGGAAGGAAATGAAGGAGAGGAAAGAAGGGCGGGGGAGGGGAAACACACTGACTCTGTGTCCCTTAAGTAATCAATTTCTTTGTGATGATATCTCCATCACAAAGAAATGCACGTCATGTACATCCTCCTTTAACTTCAAGTCCACACGAAAGCTCACGTCTCCATAGTTATACGCAACTTCCTCTACAGGCACCAAATGTTATCAATCTCCACATTTATCACCTCAAGTTCCTCTGTGGGCACCAAATCCATTTTTCTAATTGAATTTGAAATACATTTCAAATTGAACTCTTTTTATTCTCATCCCCTGCCCTGCTCTTGTCTGCTTTCTGTATTTCCTGGCTGTTTCATCAAGTTTCCCCACATCGGAAACCCTGACATTGTTCACAGAAACTCCCTCTCCCTTCCTTTACAGATTCTTCCAATCACTAAATCCTAATGCCGTCTAAATAGCTCTTCACTCACAGTTCCTTCCTCACTTCTCTAGGGCTGTAGCTCAGCCTCTCTCCTGAGTCAAATAAATGCTTCAAGACAAAATTATTCAAGCTACTTATGTACCAATGCTACCTCTAACTTGTGCATACACCACTATACAAATCCCATGATATTTTATTTGGTTTCATGTTGGTTTCTCCTCCTAAACAGGAAGATGGCAGGAAAGGGTTGTCATTATTCTTCACCGTTGCCTGGTATACAGTCTGTACCCATAAAGATTTCTGCAATTATTAAATCACTTATCACATATTCTATTAAAACATTCTCCCAACTGGAGAATATGACTTAGTCCTGCCACCCTCAACCCCCTCACCCAGCAACCTCCCCAACAAATCAGAAGAAGAGCAGAATTTTCTCTTTGTGGTGCAAATCTGATCTTCTCACTCCCTTACTTGAAATCCTTCCATGACAAAGTCAGGCTTACCACTTAAGGCCCTTCCTCACCTCATTCTGCCTATCATCCCAGCCTTGTTTCCCCCACCAATCCCCAAGCATAACCTCAAAACCAGCACCTCCTTCTAGTGCCTGCATGGAGGAAGTTCGGGCTCGCCACTACATAACTTTGTGTTCTATGTTCGTTTCTTAAAGTACAGTTCCTCAACTGTTCTGAGAGCAAGCTTTATGTCCCCTAAAATTCCAGCTCCCCCAAAACATCCTTCCTCTCGAATTCCTCTCCTTTTACTCTGCACTCCAGCTCCAAAGCAAAGACACAGCTACTTTTGCACTCACTATAGATTCATTTTTAAAGCCACTTATTGACTTTATTCTATGTATCTATTGATCTGTTTGCATTTCCCTTTCAAATATTTGTGCTGTTCTCTGGAGGGGACGTGATTCATTCGTCAGTTTTTTTGTCACCCTTAACCATCACATAGTTTAACTCATAGAAGGTTCTCAAAAAGTGCTTGTTCCATGACTAAACGAACGACTGTGTACTAACAATATGTGATTTGTTCTGAATATAGTGAAATAAAGACATAACCTGAATCAGTGTTATCAAGAGCTAATAGTTCATAATGCTTTGATGTTACTGCTGGTGGTCCTGCTTTTTCTATATGTAGCAGAGGACAAATTCTAAACTACATGCACAAAAATACCATCCCTCAGTTTGCAGCTAGGGTACCATTTACACGATATTACTGCTGTTTCACCATTTGGGTTATCTCCACCATTTTTTTTAATTGTACTTTAAGTTCTGGGGTACATGTGCAGAACATGTAGGTTGGTTACACAGCTATACATTCATATGAACTGGAAATAAAATAATAGATTACTATAAAAATAATGTATATTCATTCTAAATCATGAACATGTACTATTAATTACTATTAATGCTTTTTATTTTTTTTTTACCAAAACCCACAAATTTTTTAAATTTTAAAACCATCATTAGTTTAGCTCCATGTGTCAGTGCCTGCTAAAATTTCCTATAAAACTACTAAAATGCTCAGGGGGAGGAGGACAGGAAACTCTGATAGGACTTTAGCTCTGAAGAACACGAGAATACAGAGGGAAGAATCTCCTCCCACATCCATTGTCCTATTTTAACAAAATTCATAAACAACAACAACAACAAAAGTAGGTCAAGGAGGAAATGCCTTCTCACCGATGGGCCTTCCCCGATATGCATGTGTGTCTTCTGCTTGGCTTCACACAGCTGCCTCAGGTGTAAAATCACGAGTTCATTTTCTTCCTGGTCACTGACTGGCTTCATTTTCTGTTCAACAGACAACCCAAACAGAAGGTGTATGGCAACACACCTTCTCTCCTTTTATTCTGTCTGGCAGGCAAACGTAAATCAAGCTCAGAGTTTTAACTTCGCTCAGAAGCAAACGTACAGTGGCATTCTAGCTCTACCCAAAGGTACTCTATAGGAAGCAGCATGAAAACAGGAACACATAAAAACAGGATCCAATTCTCATTCCCTATGTCTTATTTATGAGACCCACAAATAATGTTACCTGAACTCTTTCAAAGATGTCAGCTTGCTCATTATCTGTCAGTGATGAGAGATGCCTCTGTATGACCAGCTTGGCTCTTGGCGGGTAGAGACCTAAGGAAAATGATGAGGGAAGGTATTAAACAGAGTCTAGCAGCAGAGATCCAGGAGCAGAGAACGCATTACACTTCACCTTTTCCCAGGCAGACTCTGAACTTAAATCTTCTCAAGGAGACGTGTTCCTGCCTATTAAGAAACCTTGGAACACTACACAGAAATGATTAAAACGAGATGAAAAACCTCTCCACCAAAATCAACAGCTCCCTGCAGTGATCTCGGCACTAAAATTACTAACGACAGGCCGGGCGTGGTGGCTCACGCCTGTAATCCCAACACTTTGGGAGGTGAAGCAGAGTGTTTGGAAACTTTTCCTCTAGTTCTCATTCAGTACTGCACAGGAGTTTAAAACAGGCCTGGTGACAGTGTGGCCACAGTATGGCAGCACTGTGTACATTCTGACAAGCATGAAGCAAATTCTAGTTCTTTTAAACCCCATTTCTATAAAAATACAAAAATTAGCCTGTAATCCCAGCTACTCAGGAGGCTGAGGCAGGAGAACTGCTTGAACCGGGAGGCGGAGGTTGCAGCGAGCCAAGATGGAGCCGCTGCACTCCGGCCTGGGCAACAAAGCGAGACACCATCTAAAAAAAAAAAAAAAAAAAAAAAATTACTAACAACAAACTTCTAAACAGTACTGAGCATAGCCAGGTACCACTTTACACTAACAAACAACCACCATAGAAACTGATGGATGATTGAACCTAAGACCTCACATGGAAACAAAAGCTAAAGACTAGCCTTGGCCAAAAATTTTAAGCTTACAACTTGACATTAAAAGAAGAAAGAACAAGAAATAATATTAAAGGCAATACTACAGCTTAGACAGTGATCTCTTCCCCTGATACAGCTCTTGTTCTATGAGAATAGTTTTAAGAATAGCATTAGTATTTAGTGAGCTTTCAATGTTATTATTTTCTCAGGAAATTATTTACTTCTTTATATCATGATATTCATAAACCTATCCTATTCTTACACGTAATTTATATTAAGTCCTTGAGGAAACCTTTTTTCATGAAGAGGTTGTTTTTATACTTTTTTAAAAAAAGAACGTTTAATTTATATTTGCAGTAATTCAACAGATCATCCATTTTTAAAGAACAGATTTCTCTTTCTTCAAAAGAAGATTGAAAGAGGCCAGGTGCAGTGGCTCACACCTGTAATCCCAGCACTTTGGGAGGCCAAGGCAGGCAGGTCACGAAGTCAGGAGTTTGAGACCAGCCTGACCAACATGGTGAAACCCCATCTCTACTAAAAACACAAAAATTAGCCGGGCATGGTGGTGCACGCCTATAATCCCAGCTGCTCAGGAAGCTGAGGCAGGAGAATCGCTTGAACCCAGGAGGCAGAGGTAGTAGTGAGCTGAGATCAGGCCACTGTGCTCCAGCCTGGGCAACAGAGCAAGAGTCCATGTCAA